TTCCTTTTCTAGCCTAATTGCTCTGGCTAGGACCTCCAGCAGTGTTGAATAAGAGTGGTGATAAAGGGCATCCTTGTCTGGTTCCCGTTCTGAAGGGGAATGCTTTCAGACTCTCTCCATTTAGGATGATGTTGGCTCTTGGCTTTGTATAAATGCCCTTTATTATGTTGAGGAATTTCCCTTCTATTCCTATTTTCTGGGAGTTTTTATCATGAGTGGGTGTTGGACTTTGTCAAAAGCCTTTTCTGTATCAATTGGTAAGATCATGTGGTTCTCGTCTTTTGCTTTATTAATGTGATGGATTACATTGATTGTTTTTCTGATGTTGAACCATCCCTGCATACCTGTTATGAATTCCACTTGGTCAGGTGAATTGTTTTTTTGATATGTTGTTGAATTCTATTGGCTAGAATTTTGTTGAGGATTTTTGCGTCTATGTTCATGAGGGATATTGGTCTGTGATTTTCTTTTTTTGTGGTGTCTTTACCTGGTTTTGGTATCAGGGTTATGCTAGCTTCAAAGAATGAGTTTGGGAGTATTCCATCATTTTCTATGCTCTGAAATACCTTTAGTGGTAGTGGTGTTAAGTCTTCTCTGAAAGTTTGGTAGAATTCTCCAGTAACCATTGGGGCCAAGGCTTTTTTGTTGTTGTTGTTGGGAGTCTTTTAATTACCTTTTCAATCTCTTTTGTTACAGGTTTATTTAGTTGTTTTATCTCTGTTTGTGTTAGTTTAGGTAGGTAGTGTGTTTCTAGAAATTTGTCCATTTCCTCTAGATTTTCAAATTTGTTAGAGTACAGTTTTTCATAGTATTCTGTTATGATTCTTTAATTTCAACTGGATTGTGATATTGCTCATCTTATTTCTTATTTGGGTTATTTGCTTCCTCTCCTGTTTTTCTTTTGTCAGTTTGGCCAGTGGTTTATCGATTTTGTTGATCTTTTCAAAGAACCAACTTTTGGTCTTGTTAACTCTTTCAATTGTTTTTCTAGTCTCTATTTTGTTTAATTCTGCTCTAATTTTTAGTATTTGCTTTCTTCTGGTGCCCGAGGTCTTCTTTTGCTGCTCTCTTTCTATTTGTTCCAGTTGTAGGGTTAATGTTTTGATTTTGACCCTTTCTTCTTTTTGGATGTGTGCATTTATTGCTATAAATTGACCTCTGAGTGCTGATTTTGCTATGTCCCAAAGGTTCTGGTAGGATGTTTTCATTTACATTTGATTCTGTGAAGTTCTTTATTTCATCTTAATTTCTTCTATAACCCACTAGTTTTTGAGCAAGGTGTTGTTCAGTTTCCATGTGTTTGGTTTTTTTCCCTTGCTTTTTCTGTTATTGATTTCTACTTTTATGGCTTTATGGTCAGAAAAGATGCTTTGTAATATTTCGGTGCTTTGGATTCTGTTAAGGCTTGCTTTATGGCCTAGTACGTGGTCTATTCTGGAGAATGTTCCATGTGCATTGGAAAAGAAATTGCACTTGGCTGCTGTTGGGTAGAGTGTTCTGTATATGTCTATGAGGTCAAGTTGGCTGATTGTGGCATTTAGATCTTCCGTGTCTTTATTGAGCTTCTTTCTGGATGTCCTATCCTTCGCGGAAAGTGGTGTGTTGAAGTCTCCTACTATTATTGTGGAGCTGTCTATCTCTGTTTTCAATGCTGTTAGAGTTTGTTTTATGCATTTTGGAGCCCTGTCATTGGATGCGTAAATATTTATTATGGTTATGTCCTCCTGGTGTATTGACCCTTTAATCATGATGTAGCCTTCCTTATCCTTTGTGGTGAATTTTACTTTAAAGTCTATTTTGTCAGAGATTAATATTGCCACTCCTGCTCTTTTTTGATGGTTGTTTGCTCGATATATTTTTTTCCATCCTTTGAGTTTTTGTTTGTGTCTTTAAGTGTAAGGTATGTCTCTTGTAGGCAGCATATAGACGGATTGTGTTTATTTTTTTATCCATTCTGCCGTTCTTGGCTGGCAATTTTTTTCCTTCAAGGCTTTATATATGTCATCCCATTGCCGTCTTGCCTGCATGGTTTCTGCTGAGTAGTCCAAGCTTAGTCTTATTAACTCTCCTTTGTAGATGACTTTTCATTTATCCGTAGCTGCTCCTAAAATTCTCTCTTTATCTTTTGTTTTGGCAAGTTTGATTATAATATGTCTTGGTGACTTTCTTTTGGGATCTACCTTGTGCAGGATTTGATGAGCATCTTGGATAGATATCTTCTCATCTTTCATGGTATCAGGGAAGTTTTCTGCCAACAAATCTTCAACAATTGTCTCTGTATTTTCTGTTACCCATCCCTGTCCTGGTACTACAGTCACTTGTAGGTTATTCCTCTTGATAGAGTCCTTCATAATTCTTAGAGTTTCTTCATTTTTTAAAATTCTTTTATCTGATTTTTCCTCAAATAAGTTGGTGTCAAGTGCTTTATCTTCAATCTCACTAATTCTGACTTCCATTGTCTCAATTCTGCTCCTATGACTTTCTATTGAGTTGTCTAATTTTGAAATTTTACTGTTAATCTTCTGGATTTCTGTTTGCTGTATCTTTATGGATTCTTGCAGCCTATTAAATTTGTGATTATGCTCTTCTCTAATCTTCTTAAGTTCCTCTATTGCTTTGTCTGTATGTTCCTTGGCTTGTTCTGCATTTTGCATAATCTCCTTCCTGATATCTTGAAGAGTTCTGTGTATTAATCTTTTGTATTCTACCTCCGGTAATTCCAAGAAGTTCTCTTCCTCCGGAAGAGTCCTTGATTCTTTGTTTTAGGAGCTTTCTGAAGCCATCATGGTCTGCCTCTTTATGTCATTTGATATTGACTGTTGTCTCCGAGCTATCAAAAAGTTATTATATTTATTTTTTGTTTGCTTACTGTGTCCTAGCTTCTTGTTTTGTTTTGTTCTGATATGCCCAAATAGGCTGCTCTCGTGAGCTAGCTTGATTATTGGCACTTTTAAAGAGCTAACATCTTGTCACTAGGTATGTGAGCCCAGGAGTCCGTTTACTTTTCTTGAATGGATTCATCTCAGGTGTCCAGGTAGTCAGTCACTAAGTGTGTGGATGCAGGCTCTCACCTACTGTCATACACCAGCAGCGGTGATTGGAGTAGGCACAGACATCTGGTTGCAGTAGGGAGTCATGCGCTGAGCAAGGCAGGGGGCTGACAGCTGCCCCTGAGTGTCTGGAAGGAAAGCGTGTCCCTGTTCCTTAGAGCTTGTAGGTGGGTGGGTTTTGCAGTTGGACTATGGGCACCCAGTGCTGTTGGCTGTAAAGAGTAGGAGGCACCACTTATTCTTGGACCCCTGTTGCAGGTGGCTAGGTGGTACAGGTGGAGCCCCCAGTCCTCAGGCCCCTGATGTTGGTAGGTAAGGACCCTGCTTAATATGTAGAGCAATGTCAGATGTCACAAACCTCCCACTCCAGCATATAGCTGACACAGTCGAAGTTAGGCTTCAGGTATATACCCTGTTGTACTGTGCTAATGAGGGCCTATGCTGTTAAAATGGCCTACAGTGGTCTATGCAGGGGTGGAAGGCATTCAGAGTCTATGGACCCCTTATGCTTGTGCCTAGGCAAAGGAGCTGTGCCTGCCCTGAGTTCCCAGCTTAGGGGAGCTGGCAGATTATTTTTTCCCATTTGTTAATTTGTTCTCTCTCCAGGGCCAGGAGAATGGCTCAGGGTGCATGACGGGTCCTACTTCTGGCCCAGGGGACGTGGCAATCTCTGAAGTGGGCTGGGGACCTGGTGCAGAGTGGGGAGGGGGCAGGTAAATGGGAGCGAGGTTTTTCCCAAGGGGTGTTTTTTGATCTGTGCAATAGGTTAGACACATGTACTTATCTTTTGCTGATTGAGCGCCACTTTTCACTGGTTCTGGAGGCTTGACTAGTCTCTCTGCAGCTTGGTCTCTCCTGATGTGGAAAACGAGTCCCAATTGCCACTGCTTGCCTCACTGCGCAGTTGAGCAGATCTGGCCTGCAGGGTGCCGGTTCCCACCAGGTCAGGTCTGGCAGCTCCTTGCTGCTTCCAAACTGTCTCTCCTTCCCCTTTCTGCTCAGTCTGATTCCTCAACTTTGCCTTTAATGTTCAGGGCTCCTAGATTGTCATATAAAATCGATTCACTTGTTTTTCGGGTGTTTGTTGTAAGAGGGACCACAGGAAACATCTGACTACTCCTCCATCTTGGCCCCGCCTTCCAGTTTTGAATATTTTTAAGGTATGAAATGTTTGTATGAGTTTATCTATCTTGTCATTTATTCAGGTCTTTTATGTTAACAGTTTATAATTCTTTTCATAAAGGTCTTACATATATATCTTTTCTTACATTAATTCCTGTTGCCTCATGGTGTCTGTTGTTGTGAATGGCATTCATTGAACTCTTATTAATTTTGAAAGTTTATCTTTAGTTTCTCTTGGATCCTCTATATGAGCAATCAAAGCACCTCTAAATTATGACAGTTTTGTCTTATCTTTTTCCATCCTTATATGGCTTACTTTTCTTTGTCATGTTGCATTGGATAGAAGAATATGACTATTTGTAGGATAGCAGGAATAATGTTAGGCATCTGTGTCTTGCTTTCCTTTAATGAGATTACTTATTGTGATGGTTAAGATTGTATGCCAACTTGGCTAGGCCATGATTCTCAGTGTTTTGGCAGTTGTATAATGTTGTGATTACTACCCTGTTGAAATTTGATAGTGATCACCCCATGATGGAGTTTCCTGAGTGGTACCGGTGGGGGTGGGGCTTGTGGCGGTTCACCGCCCCCTCAGCCTTCATCTCTCTGCCCTCCGCCAGCTACTTCCTTCCTGCTCACCTTGCCAAGGTTTTTGGCTTGTTCTGGACCCAGCAGCTGCCTCGTGTCGTCTCACCTCTGGTTCTTGGGACTTGAGCTAGCAGCTTACCTGTTGATCTTGGGATTCGTTGATCTTCATAGCCTGTGAGTGGGAGCCCTGCTCTCCAACCTACCGATCTTGGGTTCGCCAGCTTCTGCAGCTGTGTGAATTGGGAGAGGCCTCTACCCTGATCCACGGACTTGAGATGTTCTAGCCCCTACAATCACGTGAGCTGTTTCCTTGATATAAATCTCTTTCTATATATATTTATATGCTTTACTGGTTTTGCTTCTCTAGAGAACTCAGCCTAAGACACAAAAGTTGACATTTAAGTATATTTGCTATAGTTTTTTCGTACCTGCCCCTTGTCAAGGTAAGGAAGTTCTCTTTTATTCCTAATTTGCCAGTAGTTTTTGTTATGAATAAGTTCATATTTTGTAAAATGCCCTTTCCTACATCTTTTGAGATTACAATGTGGTTTTTCTTCTTTAATCTATAATATGATAGACTTCCTGAGGAAACATACTGGTACTTGTATCACAGTTAAGTCATGATATAATTTTTATACACTCGACTTAATTTTTACATCTATGTTCCTAATGAGATTGGTTTATATTGTCCTTGTCCTGGTGTTAAGATTGTATTAGCTTTATAAAATGAGTTGAGTAGATTTATCCATTTCTGTTCTCTGGAACTTTAAGTTTTCTCTTTCTCCTAGAATTAATTTTGGTAATACATGTATGTTTTAGAAATTGTCTTTTCCTCCCTCCCTTTCATTCATTCCTCTACTCATTCATTCAGTTCAGTTATAGAGCACCTGCTGTTAGTTTTCAAAGTAATTGATATGAAATTATTTATAGTATTCTTTCATAATTTAAAAACATTTATACTCATATCTCTTTTGGGTTTCTTATGTTATTTTTGTGTCTTCTCTTTTTCTTGATGATGGTGATGATGATAATATTAATAGCAAACATTTCTTTTACTTTTAATTTCATAAGCTATCTGCCAAGACTTGTTCTGGCACTTTATATGCAATAGATTATTTAATCCTAACATCAATTTTATGAAGTGGGTTATTATTGTCTCTAATTTATAGCTAAGGAAACTGAAGCATAAAAAGGTTAAGTAACTTGGTCAGAGTCACAGTCTAATGGTAAAGTAGGATTTATAAACCCAGACAGAATGATTCCAGAGGCTGTGTCTTAACCACTGTTCCATAGTATTTTGGTTGCTCTACAGTATACTGTTTTGCTAGAGTTTGTCTGTTTTATTAGCTTTTCAGATTAAAAAATAAATTAAAAAACCATTGCTGTCGATTCCAACTCATAGCGACCCTATAGGATAGAGTAGAACTGCTGTAATCTTTACGAAAGCAGATCACCAGGTCTTCCTCCCACTGGTTTGAACCACTGACCTTTAGGTTAGCAGCCAAGTACTTAGCCGCTGTGCCACCAGGGCTCCAGTTACAACCAGCTGTCCAAACATATATTAATTTCCCCCTTCCCTTAACTTCTCAGTCTTATATCAAAAGTTGAATAAATCTATAGAATTGGTACCTGCAGATCTGCTGCAAAGACCTCTTTAAAGTGTTAAAAAGCAAACATGTCACTTTAAGGACTAAGGTACACCTGACCCAAGCCAAGGTATTTTCAGTTGTCTTATATGCATACGAAAGCTGGACAGTGAATAAAGAAGACCAGAGAAAAATCGATACCTTTGAATTATGGTGTTGGTGAAGAATATTGAATATACTATGGACTGCCAAAAGAACAAACAAATCTGTCTTGGAAGAAGTACAGCCGGATTGCTCCTTAGGAGTGAGGATGGCAAGATTTCATCTCATGTACTTTGGACATGTTATCAGGAGGGATCAGTCCCTGGAGAAGGACATCATGCTTGGTAAAGTAGATGGTCAGCAAAAGAGAGGAAGACTCTCAACGAGATGAATTGATACAGCAGCTGCAACGATGGGCCCAAGCATAGCAATGATTGTGAGGATGGCGCAGGACCAGGCAGTGTTTCATGGCATCGTACATAGGGTCATTGTGAGTCAGAACCGACTCGATGGCACCTAACAGCAGCAATGTTTTCAAGGTTCATCCATGTTGTGTAATGTATCAGTATTTTCATTCCATTGTATGGATATACCACATTTTGTTTATCCATGCATCAGTTGATAGATATTTGGGTTGTTTTCACTTTTTGGCTATTATGAGTATTACTGCTATGAACATTCATGTATTACTTTTATTTTAAATTTTCTCTTTAATTGTGTCCTCTAACGATCCACAGAATTTTAATTTGAAACAGTACATCTTTAATTTTCAAGATTTCCAATAGCCCCCCTCCACCATTATTTTCTTTCTTTGTGTGTGTGTTCCTCCCTTCCATTATTTTCTGTTTGATTTATAACAGTATATTCTTGTTTTCTTTTTCTCTTTGAGATTATAAAATATAAAATACTTATTTTGAAGTCCCTTTTCACATTTTTCTGTTAGATCTTTTTCCTCAGGTGTCAGTTCTATTGAGATGTTTTTAAGGATATTGATCTTTGTTACTTGGTAATTTTTATTTAAGAGCTAATTATCCATGACCTGTTTCTCCTGCACACAAACATATGACAGCTTTCCCACAGGAAGTTCTCTGGGTTGCTGAGCGCTAGCCCTGCAGGGTGTGTTATCTTTGGTTTAGACTTTGCCTGTGTGACAGGACACAAAGCTCCTGCATCTTCACAGATTGTATAGTTCTGTGTCCTGTTCCTACTTGTCTGACTTGATTCTGCGACCCTCATCCTGCTTCAGTGATGCACCTACCAGTATGTCACTCAGGCAGGCAGGTGACTCATCTCTGGTCTTCACTCATGTTTTGGTCCCTTGCTTAGGTCTCCTATGTGTGGTTTGTGTGGCTCTTGCTCTTAAACTCATGGGTATTATGATATTAGCACAACGTTTTTTCCCAGTGCAGGCCCCAAATGTGGTGTCTTTAATCTTTGCTTACCACTATAGGTTTTCTTTTTTTTTCCTTTCTGTAGGTGGGGGAAGAATACTTCCCAATTCCTAGCCTATAAAGATTTCTCTTTTCTTTTTTTTTTGATCATTTATTTATTAAGATTTAAAAATAGTTGTTCTATCATTATATATGTTGGAATGGAAAGATGAGATTTCAGCATATGCTCAATTTATCTTGAAGTAGAAGGCTTTTATATAGTTCTGTTGTTTCATCTTTTTACATTTAACTCTATTCAGTCCATCTCGGGTTTGTGTGTGTGTGTGTGTGTGTGTATGGAGTGAGGCAATTGAAATTGATTTCCCCCCCATAACTACACAGTTTATTTAAAGTTATTATTCAAATATCTGAAGAATTCAAAGTTATTTACAAACCTTTTCCTCATTTATCCGCATGCTTTCCCCACTTCTGTACTATTTTACTACTTCAAAAAACAGTAGGATTCAGGAATGATTTTTCCTTATTTCACAGAAAAGTGGGGAGGTTACGTTATGTCAGAAAGTCAGTTAGTGGCAAAACTGAAGGTTGACAAAAGACATCCTGGTTCAGCACCAAGTTCATTAAACTTCACTGTAGCAAAAGCATGCTTTCACATGATCTGGGGCTTTGTGACTGAACTAGATTTGAAAAACAAACTAATGGCAAGAACAATATTACCCATTAAGATTGACAGCTAGAACTTGATCTTGGGATTGTCCATACTTTTTTGAGATGGTTAAAGCATTATTAGGTCTGTAGTATGAATAAATCAGGAAAAAGTTGTGCTGTTACTTTAGGATATATTTTATTGTTATTAAGTTATTAGAGTTGAATCCTTGTATAGCATCAACATTGTCAGCCCACTTACAAGGTAGAATTTCAAGATATCTATATATATTTAAGGAGCTCTGGTAGTGTAGTGGTTCAAATGCTCTGCTGCTAACCAAAAGGTCAGCGGTTTGAACCCATCAGCCATTCTGCAGTTGAAAGATGTGGCAGTCTGCTTCCGTAAATATTTACAATCTTGGAAACCCTATGGGGCAGTTCTGCTCTGTCTAATAGGGTCACTATGAGTCGGAATCGACTCGATGGCAGTGGGTTTGGGTTTTGGGTATATATATTTATATTTACTTGGATCCACAATCAGTGCCCACAGAAGCAACAGTCAGGAATTCAAACAACATATTGCATTGGGCAGATCTGCTGCAAAAAACTTCTTTAAAGTGTTAAAAAGCAAAGATGTCACCTGGTGGAAAAAGGTGCACCTGCCCCAAGCCATGATATTTTCAGTCTCCTCATATGCATGTGAAAGCTGGACAGTGAATAAGGAAGACCAGAGAAGAATTGATGTCTTTGAATTATGGTGTTGGGGAAGAATATTGAATATACCATTGTTACGGATTGAATTCTGTCCCCCCAAAATAATACTTGTCAACTTGGCTAGTCCATGATTCCTAGTATTGTGTGACTGTCCACCATTTTGTCATCTGATGTGATTTTCCTATATGTTGTAAATCCTACCTCTATGATGTTAATGCACTGGGGTTAGAGGAAGTTATGTTAATGAGGCAAGACTCAATCTACAAGATTAGGTTGTGTTTTAAGTCAATCTCTTTTGAGATATAAAAGAGAGAAGTGAGCAGAGAGACATGGGAACCTCATACCGCCAAGAAAGCGTGCCGGGAGCAGAGTATGACCTTTGGGCCTGGGGTCCCTGTGCCTGAGAAGCTCCTAGACCAGCGGAAGATTGATGACAAGGACCTTCCCCCCAGAGCTGACAGAGATAGAGAGCCTTCCCCTGGAGCTGGCACCCTGAATTCGGACTTCTCGCCCCTAGACTGTGAGACAATAAACTTCTGTTTGTTAAAGCCATCCACTTGTGGTATTTCTGTTATAGAAGCACTAGATAATTAAGGCAACCATGAACTTCCAGAAGAACGGAAACATCTTGTCTTAGAAGAAGTACAGCCAGAATGCTCCTTAGAAGGGAGGATGGTGAGACTTTGTCTTACGTACTTTGGACATGTTATCAGGAGGGGCCAATCCCTAGAGAAGGACATCTTCTCTTGGTAAAGCAGAGGGTCAACGGAAAAAGGGGAAGAACCTCAAGGAGATAGATTGATGCACTGGCTGCAACAATGGGCTCAGACATAGCAGTGAGCGTGAGGATGGAGCAGGATCGGGCAGCGTTTCCTTCTGTTGTACATAGGGTCGCTATGAGTCGGAACCCCGACTTGATGGCACCTAACAACAACATTAATATTTAGTTTTCCATTGTTATTAAAATGTAGAGGGGAAATGAGGGGGCAGGGCTTTTGTAAAATGGTAGATTAGTTTTTTTTCTTTATAATATGAGTGCTAGGATATGGAGAGGAAGAAGGATGGTGCATACTTTGATGTTCTTTTTGTTGTTGATGACCCAGGACTCACTGATGGTTTGTGGGAAGTTCTGTGTCAACACATATAAATACACCAAGTGGTTAATTCATGAATTAAATTGGCATGAGTTTGCCGTTCTTTGTTAAAGACTACCTCATTGAAGAATGTACTATATTAGGTACATGCCCTAAAGGGTCATTCTTGAATTTTTGTTTTCAGCTTTAAATTAGCTCACTTACTAGACTTGTGTTTATTAAATAATGAACTGATTTATTAAAAAAAGAATATCAGCTAAAGCTGTCAACTCTGGAGATTGCCAGCACTGGACATGACCTTCTGGAAATTAACTGAAAATGCAAATTGATTTAGCAAATATGAAAAATTGAAAACATGCGATTAAATGTCTTAACTTCATAATATAATTCCAAATGTTCAAACAATTTGCTGATGCATAGCCATTTCAAATCATGTTTTAAATTTTGAAGAAAAGCTTTCTTGGCTCATCAGTTTAATAAACAATTCCAGAAACTCTGATGCTTATCCAAACTGTATGTTTTACTTTATGGCAATTTCTTCTCACACAGAAATACAGTCAATACTGCTGGGAATGTCTGCAAAGCTGATGTGGACTTTAGAGGAAACCAGTTGTTTCCCGGATACATCAGGGGTATCACCCTTCCAGATGATTTTTGAGGCAAGTTTTGTTGTGGTCTCTAAATTACTCATGATTTGATTATTTTTCTACAAATCCAATAGCAAGAAAGAAAAGCTTAGGTCCAAGTTGAAATGAAATAAGGCATTGGTTCCCAAACTTCCCTTTGCACACATTGAATCACCTGGGGGCTTCCAAAATGTTGATGTCTGTGTCCTATACTCTAAGAGGTTGTGATTTATTTGGTCTGGGAAGTGGCCTGGGTGTTGTAATTTTTAAAAAATTTCAGGAGATTCTAATGTGTGGATAAGTGTGGGAACCACTGAAATAAGCCCTTATATGAATTTGGAGCCCCTGAAAAATAAAGAACGATTCCCAGTGCAGATCCTATTTGGATTCATTTTTATGAAGTTGGTTTACAGATATCTTTGTTGATTTACTTGTAGCCCAGAGTTATGAGAGTGATACGTGAGTTCTCCATTCCTTTAACGATTCTCTGATCCCCTCTCTTTCCTTCCTTTGAGTTGGTGGAGACGTAAAAAATTAGAATACTTAAAACATTCTCCCAGGAAGCACTTGGGAGGCCTTTTTCCATGTCTGAACAATGATATGCTCCCTCTGAAAGGAACGGGTACGGTAATGGGACAAGAGGCATTCCTGGCTGTGCCTTATCTTCTTTAGGGGAATAATGGGTAAACAGTCTGGGACAATTCATGGCTAGTCAGCTCTGAAACTATTAATGTCAAGTGGCAATAAAAAGGTTATTCCAGTGACCAAGGCAAGCAATTCGAGGAAAACAAGGTCATGTGTTTTAGCCAGTCTGAACAAGTAATGGTAATTGTCCATACCTAACATTCATATATATTATTTAAGCTTCCTGATGACTCCATGAAGTAGATAGGGCAGGGATTATCACTCCATTTTACAGCTGAGAAAACTGAGATTCAGAGAATTTGACTGACTTTCTCAAGGTCATATGAAATTAAGTGGCAGAATTAGAACTTGAAACAGTGTCTGACTCATATATATCAATGCTGTTTTAATATTTATTCAGTCATTAATTCAGAAACCTGTATTTGTTCAAGCAGTGTCACTGTGCTAGGTATTGGAGGCAAAAGAGCTAAGGCATGTTGCCTGATCCCAAGGAGCTTGGAATCTAAGGAGAAAGACAGACAAGTAAACAAATAATTATAATACAATGTGGTTCTATGTCGTGATGAAGGTAAACACTGAGCACTGTGGTAGCACAGAGGAAGGGCCCTAACCCAGTGGGAAGGGGTCAAGGTCTAGAGGTCTTGATGAAACTGAAAAACAGATTTACTGAGTCTGAGGGGGTCAGAGACCTGAAAGAATAGGAAGTTATCAGAGTGATAAAGTTGCTCTTATTATTTTTTTCCGTAGTGCAAAAGCAGTAAGGAAATTCAAAGTATGACCCAAGAGAACATGTGGAGCACACATAATTCCACCTATCAAGGTAGCCACTATTAACACCTTGGTGTATATCTTTTCTGATTAGAGTTGGACATTTCAGTTTAAGGTTTCCAGAATGGAACAGTTCCAAGCTATGGCTGTGGAAATAGGTGGCTGGAATGCAGTGGAGGTCAAGGTTATTGGTGTTGAAGAGGTCAAGGAACTATGAGATTTAAGTTGTTTCTTAGACTGGTCATCTACTTGGATGCAGATGTCTCCCAGGATGATGGAATGCAGAGGAGAACTAGGGAGCTGAGCAACCAGGAGTCAGTTGGTGATGGAGATGAGGAGACATAAAAGAGTAGTACAGCCAGAAGGCATGAACCTCAAGGGAACAAAAATGTCCTCAAAGTGTTTGCACGCTACGTCTCACTGTCTGTAGTGCTGTGCAGCTATTTAACAGATGTTTGAATGTAGAGAGAGAGAGAATAGAAAAAGGAGGGATTGTGAAAGTTTTTTACCATATATGGCTCAGTTGGGGAGAAAGGTCAAGTGGCAAGGTTCATAGCAAAGTCTAGTGACTGGACACTTCTGTGAAAAAGCTGTAGTAAATCGGCCCCCTGATTTGGGCATGTGAGGAGAGCTAATCCCAGGAAGACTGAAGAAAGCCTCATTTAGGAGAGATGCTGTACTTTATGTTTATGCTCATGGGGAGTCCGGCATCTTGGGATTTGTTAGGCTAACATGTCTCTCCAGAAACAATCTGACTTTACAAGATTTTCTTGACCATCTTATCTGTTTTCTATTTATTTTTTACCATAGTGTTATATGAGAATATGAATAGAGATATGTATGCATATATTGTTGTTATTGGGTGCCATCGAATCGATTGCAATTTACAGCAGCCCCATGTGACAGAGTAGAATTGCCCCCATAGAATTTCGTAGGCTGTAATCTTTTCAGAAGCAGATCTCCAGGTCTTTCTCCCACAGAGCCGCTGGGTAGGTTTGAACCGCCAACCTTTTAGTTAGTAGGCAAGTGCTTAACCATTGTGCTGCCAGGGCTCCTTCTATGTATACACATTTACATATGTGTGTGTGTATATGTGTGCATATATATGTATATGTGTGTGAGGAGTCCCTGGTGGCTCAGATGGTTAAGCACTTGACTACTAACAGAAAGGCTAGCGATTCGAACCCACCTAGAGGCACCTCAGAAGAAAGGCCTGGTGATCTGCTTCGAAAAGGTTACAGCCTTGAAAGCCCTGTGGAGCACAGTTCTACTCTGGAAAACATGGGGTCATCATGAGTCAGAACTGACTAAATGGCAACTCTCTCTCTCTTTTTTTTTTTTTTTTTTGGTAGATAGATAGCTAGGTAGATAGATTGATTCTTTCTTCTAGAAAGTGATATAGGGCCCATGACTACATAGGTCCATGTCTGTAGATACAAAACAGTTCTATATCCCATCAAATAATTAGACTTGTAGTCCAAGGTGAAGGCTGAAACCACATGATTCAGTGGTGGTTTCTGCTGCCCAGAGCTAGCAGCATCTATTTTTTCATGACAGCACTTAACGAAGATTCATTGCTTTGGTAGGCGCGTCAGGCTGGGTTACTGGGTTTCTAATACCCAACTCTAAAAGGCTTTGTAGTATCTCTTTAGTTATTTATTGTAATTCTATTAGTAAATCTTGAAAGGAGCTTCTTACTCTGTGTAACTATCCTCTGTGGGCCTGACATGAGGTTACGTTATCCTCTCAGTGTGAGAGAGGTTCCAGCCCTTCTCAGGTGATCCCTCAGCACTTCCTATGTATCTAAATCATAGAACTTCTCACATTGTCATATAAAACCTGTACCTGTTGCCATCGAGTCGATTCTGACTCATACTACCCTATAGGACAGAGTAGAACTGCCCCATAGGGTTTCCGAGGAGTGGCTGGTGGATTCAAACGGCTGACCTTTTGGTTAGCAGCTGTAGCTCTTAACCACTGTGCCACCATTTGTCTTTCTCTTCTACTAAACTGTGAACTCTTCGAATTCAGAGATTGTCTTATTTATCTCTATAGGCCCATGTACATAATAAGCCACATTAAGTGTTTTTTGAGTGAATAAATACATATATTCAGTAGACATGCATAAGCACTGCCTGTCAGACTCCATAAAAACAAAAAAAAACAAAAAAACCCAGTGCCCAGAAGAAGATCGTTCTTGGAGAGGCAGCATCACACAATGGAATGCGGGCTTTGGATTTAGTCAGATCTAGGTTTGAACCCCAGTTCTGCCATTTAACTAGCTGTGTGACGTTAGGCAAATTAATTAACTTTTTTGAGTCCCATTATCCACATCTGTAAAATGAGGGTATTTTTTACTTGCAATATTGGTATGAGTTTTAAATAAACAAATGTTTAGAAACTGCTTGGCATGTAGCAGGCGTTCAGTAAATCATTAATAATTGCAGCCCCTCTCCGGTAGATGCTCAAGGAATTTTCACTGATCTGGTTGCCTTGTTATTAACATATAATTAGCCTGTTCTGCAACACACCCTATAATCACCAAAGTTACAGAGGTTTGAAACTGTTCCAAGAAGTTGTTTTGAAAGTGTTAAATACAGAAAATTCCTGTCGGAGACCATTGCTTTTCTACTACTAAACGTTTTATACTAAAATTTTTTAATGAAGGATATGACTGTGATATGCATGCTACAGTTACTACTTAATTACCACTATTTACATGCATGAATAAACCTGTATATGTTTTAGGAATTTTCTAATAAGCCTACTTATTTTTCTAATAATTTTTCTAATAATCTCCACCCGTTGCACAGTTCTTGACCACTTCTTCAGTGTACTTTAAAAAGTATTATAATAGTTTGTTCTTCTTTATTAGATATTTGCATCTTTCTTCTTTATTGTGTTATAAGCTTTTGAGGCCTGGGACCATTTTCTTTAACATGTGCCTAGTACACGGCTCTATAGTCTCTGAGCCACCATTAAAAACTTCCTGATTTCTGACTATATTAGTAATCTCTTTCTTCTCATTCTTCCAGACGTCTCCATTTTCTAGGAGATTCTAACTTTTATTTTAGGGGCACTATATTAAATGGGAGGAGCCCTCGTGGCACAGTGGTTAAGAGCTCAGCTTCTAACCAAACGGTTGGCAGTTTGAATCCACCAGCCACTCCTTGGAAACCCTATTGGGCAGTTCTCCTCTGTCCTGTAGGGTTGCTGTGAGATGGAATCGACTTGACAGCAACGGGTATATTAAATGGGAAGGAGCCCTGGTGGCACAGTGGTTAAAGCACTTGGCTGCTAACCAAGAGGTCGGCAGTTTGAACCCACCAGCCGCTCCTTGGGAGAAAGGTACGTGGCGACCTGCTTCCATAAAGATTTACAGCCTTGGAAACCCTGTGGGGCAGTTCTACTGTCCTATAGAGTCGCTATGAGTTGGAATCGACTCGACTGCAATGAGTTTGGGTTTTGGTTTATATTAAATGGAGCGAGGCAGTATGGGAAGGTGGTTAAGACTAAGGCTTTGGAGCCAGATCCACCTGGGAAATCTTGGACAAGTTGTTTACCTTCTCTGAGACTCATTTTCTTTATCTATAAAATAAGGGGTATATGTATCTTGTATTTGTAGGGAAGTAGCATAGTATATTGGAAAGAGCATGGGCAATTGGCATTATATAGAATAGAGTCCAATTCTGGCTCTACCACTGAGCATCTGAGTGACCTTAGGCTAGTTGCCTAGCTACTCTGAGCCTCATTTTTCTTCCCCAAAGAGGGGCTAGTAATAGCTACCTTCCAAGATCGTCATGAGGTATTGTATATATTGCACCCGCATAATGCTTGTCACATAGTAGGCATTCAACAAGTGGTATCTATTATTATTATCATGTACAAGATATACTGTACTTACATATTATTATTTGATCCTTAAAACAATTCTATGAGGTAGTAAGGGTAGGTTTATCACTGTTTTTTCATATTAGGAAATGAGGACCACAGGAGCTAAGTGATTTTTTTTCATGGTTATTTAACTAATTTTTACAGAGTCAGTACTAGAACAGGCTCTCTGACTTTGGAGCATTTTGCTTTACAACTTTTCCTTATAAATAAATGTTTGAATGAATGGATTGATGTTAAAAAGTAAGATTCATTTTTGTGTCTGCTCCTTTGACTCCACGCAGATCCTTAATACAGATGGTCCCAAACCTCATTAAGAGAGTAAAGATAGAGATACTGTGCTCAGCCCCAATCTGAGGTACTTTAAATTTGTCCCAAAAGATGGTTCAGAGATTGTTGGTTTACTCTGAATTTTATTCATGGGTCTTCTGAAGGTCCATGAAACAGGTAGTCTAACCTAAGAAATGATGGTTATTTAGAGTCCCTTTCGTGTTGAATTCTTATACCCAAAGATGTTTCTTTCCCTTGGATGTCCAAAAAGCTTTCGGAGATGTGGTTACTTTAATAGGAAGCAATACCATAATTTGATTCATTTGTGCTCATCGGTTTGTGTTTATTTGGTGGTGTTTTTGTTGTGTTGTTCCAGGTTGATGAAAAGCACAGAACTTTGATGACAGATTGTCTGGCTATAAAGAATTTTTTACGCAAAATCATCATGGTGCACCCTAAGGTGAGCTGTTCTTTTGCACAGCAGTGCTTCTTTTGTCTAAGTCATGTTTTCCAAACACCTCTACTCTGTAGCTGCTATTCATGAGGTTTTCACTGGCCAATTTTTTCAGAAGTAGACTACCAGGTCTTCCTTCCTAGTCTATCTTAGTCTGAAAGCTCTGCCAAAACCTGACGATCATGGGTGACCCTGCTGGTATTTGAAATACCAGTGATGTAGTTTCCAGTACCACAGCAACATGCAAGCCACCACAGTATGACAGACTGACAGACGAGTCCAGGAATTGACGGAATACCATTTGAGATGTTTCAACAAACAAACGCAGCACTAGAGGTACTCACTCGTCTGTGCCAAGAAATGTGGAAGACAGCTCCCTGGCCACCTGACTGGCAGAGATCCGTATTTGTGCCATTCCAAAGAAAGATGATCTAACAGGATGCAGAAATTATTGAACTATATCATTAATATTGCATGTAAGTAAAATTGTGCTGAAGATAATTAAAAAAATGGTTGCAGCAGTACATCGACAGAGCTGCCAGAAATTCAAGCCAGATTCAGAAGAGGATATAGAACAAGGGATATCATTGCTGATGTCAGATGGATCTTGGCTGAAAGCAGAGAGTACCAGGAAGATGTTTACCTGTGTTTTATTAACTATGCAAAGACATTTGACTGTGTGGATCATAATAAATTATGGATAACATTGTAAAGAATGGGAATTCCAGAACACTTAATTGTGCTCGTGAGGAACCTGCACATAGACCAAGAAACAGTCGTTTGAACAGAGCAAGGGAATACTGGATGATTTAAAATCAGGAAAGATGTGTATCAGGGTTATATCCTTTCACCATACTTACTCAATCTGTATGCTGAGCAAATAATTCAAGAAGCTGGACTATATGAAGAAGAATGGGGCATCTGGATTGGAGGAAGACTCATTAACAACCTGCGTTATGCAGATGATACAACCTTGCTTGCTCAAAGCAAAGAGGATTTGAAGCACTTAGTGATGAAGATCAAAGACTACAGCCTTCAGCATGGATTACACCTCAACATAAAGAAAACAAAAAATCCTCACCGCTGGACCAATAAGCAAGATCATGATAAATGGAGAAAAGATGGAAGTTGTCAAGGATTTCATTTTACCCTGATCCACAATCTACGCTCATGGAAGCAGCAGTCAAGAAATAAACGGCGTATCGCATTGGGTAAATCTGCTACAAAGGACCTCTTTTAAGAGTTAAAAAGCAAAGGTGTCACTTTAAGGACTAAGGTGTGCCTGACCCAAGCCATGGTATTTTTAATCCTCTTATATGCATGCAAAAACTCGACAGTGAATAAGGAAGACCGAAAAAGAATTGATGCATTTGAATTATGGTGTTTGCAAAGAATATTGAACATACCATGGACTGCCAAAAAGAACGAACGAGTCTGTCTTGGAAGTACAACCAGAATGCTCCTTAGAGGCAAGGATGGTGAGACTATGTCTCACATACTTTGGACATGTTATCAGGAGGGATCAGTCCCTGGGGAAGGACGTCATGGTTGGTAAAGTAGAGGGTCAGCAAAAAAGAGGAAGACCCTCAACAAGATGAATTGACACAGTGGCTGCAACAATGGCCTCAAGCATAATGCTTGTGAGGATTGCACAGGACCGGGCAGTGTTTTGTTCTGTTGTACACAGGGTCGCTATGAGTCAGAACTGCCTCCACGGCACCTAACAACAACAACAACAACAATTCTTCTTCAGTCTTCCTTATTCATTGTCCAGCTTTTGCATACGTATGTGGCGATTGAAAATACCATGGCTTGGGTCAGGCGCACCTTAGTCCTCAAAGTGACATCTTGGCTTTTTAACACTTGAAAGAGGTCTTTTGCAGCAGATTTGCCCAAAGCAATATGTCATTTGATTTATAACTGTTGCTTCCATGGGCATTATTTTGGATCCAAGTAAAATGAAATCCTTGACAACTTCAATCTTTTCTCCATGTATCATGACGTTGCTTATTGGTCCAGTTGTGGGGATGTTTGTTTTCTTTACATTGACGTGTATGCTATATAACTTCCCCCTTTTTTCTCTTGCTATATTCCTATTTTTTCTGCCTTCAACAGGGTTCAGTGGTTATTGTTTGCCCCTGACTGTTTTTTAAGTGCTCCCCATGCGTTCATTTATTTCACCCTCACAGCAATCCTTGTGAAAGGTGATAGTTTTATCATCACCATTCCCATTTTGGAGCCCTGGTGGTGGCGCAGTGGTTAACATCTTGGCTGCTAACCAAAAGGTCGGCCGTTTAAATCTACCAGCATCTCCTTGGAAACCCTACGGGGCAGTTCTACTCTGTTCTGTAAGGTCGCTATGAGTCAGAATCGACTCGATGACAATGGGTTTTTGGTTTTGGTATCCCCATTTTACAGCTGAGAAAACTATAACGCAGAGGTTAAATAACTTGTAGAGCCAGGATTTGAATTCAGGCAGTCTGACTCTAGAGTCCGTTATTACCTGTCATGTTATGTGGAAAGAAACATGTAGGTAGAATATGGAAAATAATGTAGAACAATGATGTAAATTGGAGGAAGAATATGAAAATCAGATGGGGGCAGGGGAAGAAAAAGCAAAGAAAAAAACCAGAACATTTCACGTACGGAAATAACAGAAAGAAAAGAAGTGATTATTATTGGTTGCTGTCAAGTTGTTTCCAACTCAGGACAACCCTAAGGGTACAGGGTAGAACTGTTCCACTGGTTTTCAAGGCTGTGACCTTTGGAAGTAGATCACTAGGCCTTATGAGGTCCCTCTGGGTGGGTTTGACACCAACCTTTTGGTTAGTGATCTGGCACTTAAACATTTGCGCCACTCAGGGACTCCTTAGAGAAAGCAATAGTCCCTTTTAAAATGAGAAGGAATAAATTGGGAGAACAGCAGAGGACAAAAGGGCAGGATTTCCTGATAATTTGTGACTATTTAGGATTGTGGTATAGGACTCAATATATTTAAGATTCAGAATTCGAACATAGGCTAAGGGTTAAATATGAATTGGAAAAGTACAAGTTAAAAAAAAAAAAAGGTGATTCCCCTGAAGTCTTCTTAAAATCAAACAATAATTTAGCTTTACTAGAGAAAAATGTCTGCCTTGAGCATTATGCTGTTTTAAGAACTATCTATATGGGATCAAATTGACAACGGCAACTCAAAAGATTAGATAGGAACCTTAGTGGGCAGTGAGTTTATGTTAATGGAGGAGGAACAAATCAGAAAAGCAGGGTGAAAATGGTTGCACAACTTAAAGAATGTAATCAGTGTGACTGAATTATTTGTATTAATTGTTGAATTGCTCTATGTTTTGTTGTGTATATCTTCAACAACAACAATAAATTAAAAAATTTTAAAAAGATGATAAAGAATATCTTTTCCCTTAGGAACTGGGTGTAGAAGTTTTTAATGTCTGTCTTGGTTCACGTTAAATCTCACACCTGTTTATTGTTTTGCAGATGAGATTTCACTTCAGTATAAAAGTGAATGGAACCCTCTCCAAGGAGATCTTTGGGTAAGTCCTGGCTTGAGATGACACCAGGGCCCTGCAGTTTTTCCTCAGCCATTATGCAGTTGCCAGTAGGTTCACAGTTTGAATTCTTGACCCAAAGGCACCTTGAAACCAATTTTCGGAGACCCCACACTTTCTTATTCTGTATTAGCTTTTAATAAGTAAGTAGATTCACCTAAACCTTTCATGTTACTCCCTTTCACTAGAGTGAGTGAGTGAGTGAACTTAAAAATCACCATTTTTCTCTTGGTAAGTAGGGTACTGAATTCCAGTAGTTTCTAGGGTGGTAGTGGCTCATGGGCCAAAATTTTATCAGGCAGAGATGGATTTTAGAATCTTTAATATCTGGCTTCACTTTGCTTTGCTTTGCAGGGTAGAGGATGAACCCATTTTGAACCTACCAAATGGAATTGCTCTTGTCGTAAACTATCAGCATTATATAAGGTGAAGGGGAAAAGAATTGTCAGCCTTCTCCATTTTTTACTCTCCTGTTTTGAGTATTAATTTGGGTAGAAGTTGGAAATGTTCTCACTTGCCATTCCTTAGTTCCAGTTGTCAGCTTCTCTGTAAGAACAGTGGAAGAAAAACTTTTAAGCTATTTGTACTGAAAACTTTTATTATTCCTGGCTCCTTGACTTTTTTCTAATTGACCCAAGGACATGTTCCTTCTCCTCTCCACGCCTTATTTTCTTCTGTAAATGAAATGAAACAAACCCTGCCAGTTCCCATGCCACTTAGCAATGAGAAGAGAGTACTGTGAAGGTAAAAGGTATGGGAACTCTTGGCTAGAGAGTTACTATGAATACAAAAGAATTCTTTGTATGTGATTTGTTACACGTCAGCATGTTGCATAGCTTTGGAAATCATCTCTCTTCCCACCTTCACCGTCTTGAGACTCTTCAAAACTTAATCCACAGAAGAGGTGGTAAGTAATTATTGCCTTGTCTTCCTGTATTATCCAACTACCACAGAATTCAAATAGCTTGACTTGTAGCAAGAAAAGACCTAGTTTATGTTTAAGTCCAACTAATTTATTCTTTATTCAGTAGTTTTGGCTTCCATTTATATGCCCGGAGTCGACACTAGCAGTCATCATAAGATCTTAAGGCTTGAAGAGATTGCCCAGGGCTCTTTAGTCTATTTTCTTGCTTTTGCCCAAAATTGCACAACAGATTAGAATTTTTTTTTTATTTTTTCACTGTAATAACAAGTGTTGGTAAAAATGTGGAGAAACTGGAACCCCATATCTTTCTTTAGTACTCCTCTAGTATCATACAGTCCTTACAGGTCGACAGCTCATTATCACAGTGTTGTGCAACCATCACCACTGTCTAGTTCCAAAACGTTTTCATCACCCCCAGAGGAAACACCATATCCATTATGCAGTCACTTCCCATTCCCTTCTCCCCTAGCCCCTGGCAACCACTAATCTGCTTCTCTGTGTATTTACCTATTCTTGATATAGCATATAAATGTAATCATACATATGTGACCTTTTGTGCCTGGCTTCTTTCACTTAACATAATGTTTTCAAGGTTCATCCATGTTGAAGAATGCATCAGAACTTCATTCATTTTTATGGGTGAATAATATTCCATTGTTTGGATATAACACATTTAGTTTTTTCCTTCACCTGTTGATAGATATTTGGATTGTTTTCACCTTTTGGCTATTGTGAATTGTGCTGCTGTGAATATTTTTGTACAGTATTTGTTTGAATACCTGTTTTCAGTTCTTTCAGGTATACACCTAACAGTGCTGGGTCATATGGTAGGTCTGTTTAACTTTTTATGTAAGTTTAACCTTCTTAACACCAAATATTTTCCACAGTGGCTGTACCATTTTGCATTCCTACAAGGCAGTACACGAGGGTTCCAGTTTCTCCACATTTTTACCAACACTTGTTATTACAGTGAAACCTGTGAGAGCTGGAACTCAATAGGACTGCCTTTTTTTTCCCCAGGTCTTGCAAGTTTTCCATCTTTGACAGGGTATAGTCTTAACACTTTTCTGTCGCTCTCTATTAGTGGAAAATGTATGAGTCCTTCTCTGACAGGTTTCTGCCTTACACAGGTTCTGGCTTTTACAGGTTTTACTGTATTATTTTTATTATAGCCATACTATTGGGTGTGAAGTGGTATCTCTTTGTGGTTTTTGATTTGCATTTCCCTAATGACTAATAATGGAGCCCTGGTGGCAAAGTGGTTAAGCATCCAGCAGCTAACCAAAAGGTCAGCAGTTTGAATCCACCACCGCTCCTTGGAAACCCTATGGGGTAGTTCTACTGTGTCTTATAGGGTTACTGTGAGTTGGAATTGACTCGACAGCAACGGGTTAATGACTAAGAATGTTAAGTATCTTTTCACATGCTTACAGCGGCTGGGCTGTAGGTATCTCTTCTTTGGAGAATATCTATTCAACTCCTTTGCTCATTTGTTAATTGGGTTGCTTGCCTTTTTGTTGTTGAGTTTTAACAGTTCTTTATCTATTCTGGATACTAGATTCTTATTAAATGTATGATTTGCATTAAGTAATTTCTTAAAAGGGAAAAAAAGTTAAATTCGTCTCTCTTGTTTTCTGACAGTAGACCAAAGTTTGGTGCCACTGAATTACTCTGCAGCAGAATTCACCCTGTGCCAGGACAACCAGTAACACTTTCCATCCCTGATGATGTGGCTGCCATGGGCTTGCTGGGGGAACTGATACTGATGCCAGCTGCTGCTCTCTGCCCCTGCCCAAAGGCCTTTTCCAACCAAATGAATAGGATTTCTTCAGTTTCCATATCCTTTTGATGACAGAGTCCATCCAGTTGTTTTTAAAAATGAATTTTTATATCCAAATTCCAAGAAACCCTTTAGAATATGAACTCAGTGTCTAGAAGCATATAGCACAGGACCCCATGGATTTTAAAACTGGTTTCCCTTGAGATTCTGACAGGTGATCTGTTGGCCCAAGTTTCTGTTTGTACATGGGGAAAATAATGCAGCTCCTTTTGTATGAGGTATGATAAAGCCAGACACATAAGATTTTATTCTTATAACATTTGGGATAATAAATTTCAAACATTATTTACAAGGGGGTAAAATGAAATTCAGAGAAAATGAAGAACAAAAAGTTTGTTGTGGTAGATATGGAAACAGAACCCACATTTTCCATTTTCTGCTCAGTGACCCCTCTGCTTGACCTTCATTATTCAACTTCTCAGGGTTGTTGGACCATTAGTGCTCACATATATGAAGGCTAATTCATTAAAGTAGTAATACTGATGAGTTACAGCTCGTCAGAAGAGTGCCTTGGTTCTTTTCACAAAACATGAGAAAATTCCTTTAAATTAAAGATTTATCAGCATTAATTGGTTTATTATTCAGAGACTGTATTGGTTCACCTCATGGATCATACTAGCCTAAGAATGTTACTTCTAATATGGGACTAAAAGTTCAACAGAGTAAGGACAATTAGTATCCAACTTTGTAGGTAGTGGAAGGAGCACTAGACTTGAAATCAGAGGGCTTGCTGTTTGACTTTGAAGTCATTACTTAACCTCTGAACCTTAGCTTCCAGCTCCAAAAACTCCATGTTTCCAACTTTAAATTATTTAAACTGTTATTTTAATAAACATTCATTTAACAAACATTTTTATATACCTAGTATGTGTAAGACTTTATTAGATGCTGAGGCAGGTTGTGTCTTAAACAGTCTGTGGACTAACAGAAGAAACACACATGCACTCAAATAACTGTAAAAAGAAGGTGTGTATATTATTAAGTGCTGTGAGAGGCAGAGTACTTTGAAGGCCTAGAAGAGGGAGTAACAGTCACAAGACTGTGACTAGCAGAGCATTATGGATGGTTAAATGATGGAGTTAGCATTTTAGGTGTGTCTCGAAGAATAAATACGATTTTCCAAGGAGGAGGACATTTCTGTTAGAGGGAATGACGTGCAAAGATGTGTACAGTTGTATAAAAAATATATAATATGACAGAAGTGTGTTCTGAATGGTGTAGGAGGGAGAGATGAGGCTGGAAAAGTACTTTGGAGTTGAGTATGGTAGAGCTTATAGAGTACAGTGGGATATGAGTGTGTGTGACTGTTTCTGGAAGAGTCTCCAGCAGCATTGTGGAGGATGGATGGGAGAAAGAAGCCAGTAATCAGTAAGTAAATAAGTAAATGAGCTGGGCAGGAGATAATGAGTGTCTGAATTAAAAGTGTGGTGGGAAGGGAAAGGAGAGACTTATGACTGGAAAGAATCGACATAGTGAGGGGCAAGGAAGGGCTGAAGTTGATATCAAAATTTCTAGCATAGATGGCAGACAGAATCATATGCTGCCAAGCAAGATACAAAACATAAATAGCAGATCTGAGGGATATAGAAGATGAGTTTGGCTTTAAACATGTTAAGATTATGGTGCTTACAGGACATGTTTCTTTTTTTTCCCCATACAAAAACTGTTATGTGACTCTAATTGCTCTCCCCATACTGTGACAGCACACTCCTCCTTTCCACCCCTGATTCCCCATGTCCATTCAACCAGCTCCTAACCCTCTCTGCCTTCCCATCTCACCTCTGGACAGAAGCTGCCCATTTAGTCTCTTGTACTACTTGAGCTAGAGGCACACTCCTCACAAGTATCACTTTATGCCCCACAGTCCAGTCCAATCCCTGTCTGAAGAGTTGGCCTCGGAAATTGTTTTAGTTCTGGGCTGATAGAGAATCTGGGGGCCATGGTTTCCGAGGTACCTCCAGTCTTCTTCAGACCATTAAGTCTGGTCTTCTTACTAGAATCTGAATTCTGTACCCTACCTTTCTCCTGCTCCATCAGGGACTCTCTGTTGTGTTCCCTGTCAGGGAGGTCATTGGTGGTAGCTGGGCACCATCTAGTTCTTCTGGTCTCAGGCTGATGAAGTCTCTGGTTTATGTGGCCCTTTCTGTCTCTTGGGCTAATACTTTCCTTGTGTCTTTGGTGTTCTTCATTCTCCTTTACTCCGGGTGTTTGGGACCAATTGATGCATCTTAGATGGCCACTTGCTAGCTTCTAAGACCCCAGACGCCACTCACCAAAGTAGGATGCAGAACATTTTCTTAATAAGCTTTGTTATGCCAATTGATATAGATGTCCCCTGAAAGCATGGTCCCCAGACCTCTACCCCCTGCTACCCTGTTACAGGACATCTTTTGAAGATGCAAGCAGCTATGTAGAAATTCTGGTCTAAACTTGAAAGTGGTCAGACCTAGAGACAGAGTTTTCTATCCAGGTGAGTATAGCATTGTGCTGTAGTGAAGACCATGGCACTGGAGTTTAATGCAGGCTTCACAGGGATAATTAGATGTGTGACTGTAGACGACTTACTTAGCCAGTCTAAGTCTTTATTTCCTCAGCTTTAAAATGGGGATAATAATACCGACTTTGTAAATTTATTTATTTTCCCTCTCAAAGGTTTTTTGTTTGTTTTAGGATTAACTAAGATCTATGTGAAGCTCCTAGCATACTGCCTGATACATAATAAGTGCTTAATAAATATTAGGTATTATGGTATTGAAGATGTGAGAATAACTGAAATTATAGGAGAGTATAAAGAACAAGAACAGAACTAGGGTCAAGGTTATTTTATGATAGATGTCAGCTGAGAATGTCTTTTAGGGAGGCAGAAGGAGCAGGGCATTGATAAAGACTATGCATGGACATTTTCTATTTTTAAAATGCTCTTTCTTAACATCTAGACAATATGGAAGAGTATAAAGTAAAAGCTTCTTCTTCCTCATCCCACTCTCCAGAAGGAATAAGACAGACAAATGTTCTGTCCTCTCCAAGTTTATATTTTAGTGGTAAAAAATTAACAAATAAACCTATGTCAGGTAGTGATAAGTATGGTGAAGATAAAAGAGGGTAGGTTATTAAATATGGATATTCATCTTCATATCCCCAGAATTTAGCACAGCGTTTGGCCCATGGCACCATTCAAATCTATAATCGAATAAATAGAATAAATAAATAAGTTCATTGTCCCAGTACTGTACTGAATCAATTTCTGGGAATTCTGGTGGATTCAACTCTGATGCCTCACAGCTAGCTTTGGTGTAGAAAAAGGCTTAATATGTAATTGCCTGGCACATTTGTTTTATTTCCAGGAGTGTGAACCAGGTTGGTGTTATGTGTGTTTTATACAAGTGAGTCATTAGGAACTAAAATTTGGCAGTTTTCTTTAGCAGCTATACATATTTCTCTATGGACCTTCAGGTCTGCCTCTGCTATTGCCAAGCCGGGAGCAGCCAACTACTCTCTTCACAGATATCTCTTGTTTCATTGACTGGAAGAAATACCACTTGTGTGTGGTGCCCAATGTGGATTTCAGTTTGGATAGAGGTATATCTCTCTACACAGGAATGAAGAAACTTGGAGAACATCAGAGAAAAGTGAGGAAATACGAATAGGAGCTGTATATAAAAATAGGACCCAGTGGTCTGATGGCTCAAGTTGGGGGTGGGGAGGTCTGGCTAAGTTGGAGAGTCCACTTGGAGTGAAGCAAACAGGTATGGAGGCCCCATCAGAGCCTAGCTTTTGGGGTGGCAGGTTGACGCTGCTTCTCTCCTCACTCCCATTGCTGCCACCTGTACTCCTGGGGGAAGTCACTAGGCCTTCATCTGCTAGGGGCTTGTTTGGGGTCTTTATATTGTACCTTAATCTCTCAACTTTGGGGTTTTAGAAAGTAAGTAAGGGAGTAATAACTCCCTTTAACTATTGTAGAAGAGAAATGATATCATGTATCCTAGTAAAATGGGAAAATCCACATAAAATTACTTAGAAAAAATTAAAACACTGCACAAATGTCAGGTGGGAATATAAAACATAATACAGTAAAACCTGCAAAAGCCAAAACCTATGCAAGGTGGAAGCCTGTCAGAAGGAAAACGCAAATGTTTCCCACTAAAACGAGCAATAGAAAAGTGTAAGACTACACCCTGTCAAAGGTGGAAAACTTGTGAGACCCAGAAAAACAAGGCAGTCCCGTTGAGTTCGGGCTCTCACAGCTTTCACTGTAATAATAAACCTGGGAAGTTGTATGTAATATTCACGTAGGGCATAACCACATTAGTTTTGGGTGAATTATGCTGAAAGTTGGATGGTTAATAACTGGACCATCAAATAAAACTGAGAAAAAGGAATATGCCACCATGGACTGATGTCTAGGAGGTTTACAGTTTTGAGCTTGACTCTAGCTAGCCAGAATCCTTTGAAATTTAGAAGGTAGTGTGATCATGTGAATCCTGAAGAAGGTAACAGGTAGGGCTGTGACTGCTGTGAAAAGATGGAACCTCCTAGGGCAGGCAGGCTGTCTGGGTAATAATCAACTCTTCATCTAGGAGGTAGCCCTCAGGGTGAGGCTCTTTTCTCATAAGCGGCAGTTATTTCAGAGGGTGGGTATGAGAGGAGTCTGCCCTGAAACAAGGTCTCTGTAGGCAAGTGGTTTTTATGAGGAAAGAAGGTTTGGTCTTGACAGATGGGATGTCCTGCCTTCAGGATTTTGTAATAGAGGAGTGACGTAGGTGAATCTCTGTTGTTGTTGTTAGGTGCCGTCAGTTGGTTCTGACTCATAGTGACCCTAAGTACAACAGAACGAAACACTGCCTGGTCCTGCGTCATCCTCGCAGTCGTTGCTATGCTTGAACCCATTGTTGCAGCTGCTGTGTCAGTCCATCTCGTTGAGGTTCTTCCTCTTTTTCGCTGACCCTCTGCTTTACCAAGCATGATGTCCTTCTCCAGGGACTTATCCCTCCTGATAACATGTCCAAAGTATGTGAGATGAAGTCTTGCCATCCTTGCTTCTAATGAGCATTCTGGCTATACTTCTTCCAAGACAGATCTGTTCGTTCTTCTGACAGTCCATAGTATATTCAATATTCTTGCCAACACCATAATTCAGAGGCGTCAGTTCTTCTTCTGCCTTCCTTATTCGTTGTCCAGATTTCACACACATATGAGGCGATTGAAAACACCATGGCTTGGGTCAGGAACGCCTTAGTGGTTAAGAGCACGTGGTTAAGAGTCAGTCTGCAACTCATTCCCACCACTTACTGTCTCACATTGGGCAAGGTATTTAATCTATCTGTGCCTCTTTTCTTATCTGTAAAATGGGCATGAGAATAGATCCTACCCCATAGTGTTGCTATAAAGTCTACATGATGAGAGAGCACATGCAAAGAATTCAATATGGTAGCTGGAATGCAGTGAACATCGAGTACAAGTTAGCTGTTATCATTATCATTACTCAGGTTTGAATCTTATCTCTGCCTCTTACTAGCAGTTACCTATTATCTAAGCAATACCTACCTTAGGAAGTTGAATAAGGAATAAATGAACTTAATATATAATTCTTGCTCAGTAAATGCAAAGGAGTATTGTTCGGTCTGCATTTTACAAGCCCAGTGATTATGTTGTTTCTCCTGTAGGTCACTACTGCTTGCTTCCATCATGTGGCTAGAGAATCAGGTTCAGGAGGAGAAGGGAGTGTTTGAATTTAGATCTCTTATTCTCAGACCCTCTTTGTTCAGAACATAGGTTCTTTAGTTACTTAGCATTTTGAGGGCTTTACTTATCTTAGAGAGGAGCCCTGGTGGTGCAGTGGTTTAAGCGCTTGGCTGCTAACTGAAAGGTTGACAGCTTGAACCCATCAGCCACTCCGCAGGAAAAAGATGTGGCAGTCTGCTTCGGTAAAGATTACAGCCTTGGAAACGCTATGGGGCAGTTCTGCTCTGTCCTATAGGGTCGCTATGAGTTGGAATGGGTTTTTGGTTTGGTACTTGGAATACTGTGTAATATCTTGTCCTCTAGAATTGGTGGTTCCAGATGTGAGTTATCAAGTGGAGTCCCGTGAGGGGGACCAGTCTCAGAATACGGACCCTCAGGGACACACTCTGCTGCTCTTCCTCTTTGTGGATTTCCACAGTGGATTTCCAGTCCAGCGAATGGAACTCTGGGGTAGGTATAAGATAATGGGGCTGCCAGCTTGGGTGTCCTTACATGTTAAGGGCATAAAGAAAGGGAGACATTGCATGATGCGTATATCTGAATTATTGCTATATATATTTCTGTAGAATAACACGTTTCAATGAAAAACCTTGCTTAAATAAATTAAACAAAGCATATGCTCTATGGAAAAGATGTATGACTTGATGCATCACTGAAGTGATGACATTGCCAGTTTGGTTGGCTAGAAATCAGCAGATACTTCCCACAATGCTCTCTACAGACTATATTACCTTAGACCAGTGGTTCTCAACCTTAGCTGCACAATATAATCCCTGGGAGCTTCTAAAAATGCCTAGGCCCCATCCCCCAGGGATTCTGATCTCCTTGGACCGAGTTGGGACTCAGGGATCAGTATGTTTTGATAGCTTCCTAGGTGATTCTGATGTTGCAGCCAGGCTTGAGAACGACTATCTATGACCATACTGCCCTTCCAGGTGGAATCAAGGAATGTAATCAGCCTGGCCTGGCCTTGGTACTACATCTCAGATACAACATGAGGCGGTGTGGGGTGCACTGGTGTGAATGGCTTTATGTGGTTGTCACACAGACCTCTGGAAAGGGCGAAATTGTTCTCACTCAGGCATGCAAGGGGGTGACAATCTGTTATCAGAAAGGTTCTCTCTGTTAAGGCTAAAGCAGTGGTTTAAGCACATGCATCAGAATCACCTGAAATGTTTGCAGCTTCCTGGGCCCATGACTATTTTGCTGTAATGTCAAAATCTGGTGTGGCTAAAGAATCTATATTTTTCACAAGATTCCCAGGTGGCTCTTAAATGTAGTAAAGTTTGAAAACTACTGAGTGTGAGCGCGAGTTGGTTTATGCATTTTAATCTAATAAAACCTGGGACATAAATTTTAAGTGTTTCTCAGTGCCCTCCTAAACTTTCAGGGGAGAAGTGGCGCTCATAACAGTTTGGGGAGGGGGTCATAAGCTCTTAAAGTATTTCTGTGTTCTCCTTTCTCTGTGGGCCAATGATTTTTCTGGGGACCCTCGTCTCCAGGCATGGCAGTGCTGTCTGGTGTGGCCCTGCTCCCACTGAGTTGTAGGAGAAATGAGACAGCTTCCAACCTCAGCATCAGAAGAGCGCCTATTGACTGGTGTCAGCTATTTGTTGAACAAACCACCGTCAGCTCTGGGATTCTTCCGTGCCTTGCCTACCTTTCCCCAGCACATACATACTCTTCTGGAGAGGAGCCCTGCTTTCTTGGGCTCTGGCTCGAAGCTCTTTATTAGAGAATCTGGTGTTCCCGCTGTTCCACTGATGAAGGTCAATGATTAGACCCAAACTAATGAGGCATCCAGCAAGGGGGTCCAAGGTGAGGGTGCCTAAGGTTGTTTCCTGGCCCATGCCCACACAGAGAGTCAGCTTAGTATTGTGGCAAGGACTTCAGGATGGAATCAAGAGACCTCGGTTTAATTTTAGCTCTGCTGCCAGCTTCCTGAATGATTTTTGAGAAGCAAGTCACATATGTCATCTGAGCCTCCCTTTCCGTATCTTCAACATGAGATTAATTGTTAAACTAGATGAGATCAAAGACCCTTCCAAGTCTAAAGACTCTCTTAAGACTTGCGTTCTGCTATCTTCTGGCAGTTGTTTTTTTTTTGAGGCCTGCTGGAGGGAATATTAGCCCAATCATTCTTCCCTAGGATAATACACAGTCTGATAGCATGTTCTGAAATCTATCGAAGTCCAATTCTTCAGAAACCAGTTTTACCTATAATTCTTGTATTTCTGTGATAATTTTTACACCTTGTGTGTAGCTTGACTCCAAAGGCCTGCAGTATCTCTGTGGTTGTATGCAATACTGGATTAAAAAGAAATCTGTCACTGTGTTAGTAAACACACCAAGTGTCTTAAAGTCTGCTCACACACCTGGTCGTCTAGGACTAGCCTCTGAAGCAGACACACAGTGAGGGTGGCAGGTATGAAGTAGATGGATAGATAAAGATATAGTAATTTTACCTTTTCCTTCTTCTCTTCTTTCTCATATCCTTGAAAGCTTTCTCCCGAGTTCTTACTTTAGGAAACAGATTGTGCGGAACTACAGTCTGTTTCCATGTGTCTTAAAAAAAATCACTTAATTGGCCTTCTGCCCACCTTGTCATGGTAACTTTTCTATGATTAACTGATTATTTTGCTGCAGCGTCAAAAGCATCTGGTGGTATCAGCCATTTTAGGAATGAACTCGTGGCTTTTTAATTAAATGTCTGCTTTCAGAGGAGTCTATTTAGAAGGTAGTGTGGTCAGTCATTCAGTAGAACCTCTCCTCTCTTGAACTTGTTTTAGAGGGGGGCAGTTTATATAACCCCTTCACCATGGATTTCTGGGGGTATTTATCTCTTTAGAGATAGAGAAATAAAGACCTTGTTTGAAGGGTCTTGCGTAGATGACAGAAATGGGAAGACATCTGGGAGCCGCACCTTTCTCAGACCAACTGATTTCTTGAGGCCATTCTTAGGACTATAGAATACAATAATCCAGATGCTATCATTATAGCAATAACAATATTTTCCTTTAAAATATTGTGTTGTACATTTCAAAGCAGCTCATACATTATCCCAGTTTCTCCATGCAACATACCTGTGAGAGCAGGTGATTTAAAGCCATTTTTTGTACCAAGGTGGAGAAACAAAGTGAAGTGATCACCACTAGTTGGTGGTAGAACTGACTGTAGGACCTATGCTCTCCTGATTCCAGTTCAGACCACTTTAGAGCTGACCACATATTACCTTCCCTACCAGGGAAGCATCATTTTTAATGCAGTCCTGAGAAAAGCCAGCCAGCCTTAGGCTGCTTCACCATAGTACCTTTGAGCACACTATCTAGAGGAGAGTAGAAAAACTCTGAACAAAGAAAGGTTCATTAAATAGCATTTTCTTCAGGTGCCCTGTGAAGTGAATTTGTCTTCCTGTGTCTCCTGCATCTGGATCATTAAAAGGGAGCTTATTACTTGGTGGGAGTCCCTGGGGGTGCAAACGTTCAACACAGGCTACTGACTGGAAGATTGGAAGTTCAAGTCCACCCAGAGACACCTCAGAAGAAAGGCCTGGCAATCTACTTCTGAAGATCAGCCACTGAAAACCCTATGGAGCACAATTCTACTCTGACACAGGGGTCGCCATGAGTCAGAGTTGACTCAGTGGCAACTGTTTTATTATTTTATTATTTGATGACATATTTTGTCCACAGCAAAATATGTGGTATGTGTTTCTGTTTCTGATACGAATTAAACAAGATCCCTCACTTGTGTCTTCAAAAATAATATTCTCTAATTTTCTTGAGCGTTCTTTCACTTGTAAGTGGGAATTGGGTTTTTAAGGTGCTGTTTGTTTTTTTGTTACTGTTTTGTCTAAAAAAAGTAACTTGTGGACAAGTAGAAGTGACCTCCCCTTCAGTAAGGCATCTTCCCCAACCCCAGCCCTGACTAAGAGCACATAAGCAGCTGTCCTGAATAGTCATCCAGGCTCACTTCCCTCCCCTCAGGAATCCACACTTTGCTCACAACTCATCTCAATGCCATCCTCCTGGAGAGCCAACGAGTGGTACAAGACTCTATCCAGATCGCCGTGGACCAGGCCTTGGAGCAGCATCACCAGGCTGCCAAGGTAATAAGAGGCTGACAGTTTCCTTTCCCTACTCTCTGTAATGAGAAGCTAGCTAGAGGGCATGGCAGTCGGAGACCCAGAGCCCTTCTCCCTTTAATGCTCCTTTGAAGCGCTCCTCGTCTGTCACCTGGATGATCTTGTACCTGCATTCAGCCTGTGAACTCAAGCCTATACTAAGAGGGGTCACTCTAGCTTGCTTAGTCTTACCTCCTAGCAGGCGAGTTTGAGTAAATAGGGACAGAAATAATAGAGAAAAATGACTAGTAACATGCCTCTTCCTTATCTATCCATCTCCCACCCACA